TTATGTCATTTACCCAAGAAGTTTACTATAGGCATGGAAGAATCATCAATTTATAGAAATCCTACCAAAATGGCCTGTAGAACTAGAGTCTACATTTTACCAAGCCGGTCATCTAGCTCCTTCCAATTGCATATAAAAACGGTTACAGGACACTTAAACACTAAGAAAGAGGCATAGGTTCCACTCAACCACATAATTCTGCAAAGTCTTTCAAGACCAAATCACTTTACAGAATAATCTTTGCTGCCTTTGTTCTCTAGAAAATATTCCCCAGTCTTTTTTTTTAACATTTTTAAAAAATCTTCACCCAAGGATATGTTTATTGATGTGTTTTAGAGAAAGAGTAAGGGGAAGAGAGGGTGGGGGAGAGGGAGACACCAGCTGCCTCCCATATGCACCCTGATCGGGGATCGAACCTGCAACCAACTGAAGCACCTGGCCAGGGCTCCCCCAAAGATTCTTAAATAAAGTCAACAAAAACCTCTCTATTAGTTTTCTATTGTTGCCATAACAAATTATCACAAACATAAATTTATTCTCTCACAGTTTCTATAGGTCAGAAGTCAAGCGAACTTGGGTGGGGGGGTCTTCTACTTAGGGTTTTGCTGGAAACTGGAAAAAATCTACTTCCAAGCCTTTTCAAGACTGTTGATTAAATATAGTTCCTTTAGGTTGTAGGACTGAGGTCCCCATTTCTTGCTGGCTGCCAGCTGTAGGTTGCCTACATTCCTTCTTACACTTTCCATGTGGACTCATCCAGTAATAGCAGGTTGAGTCTCTCTCACACTTCAAATCTCTCTGACTCCAGCTGGAGAAAGTTCTCTGCTTTCATGTGCTTAGAGTGGACCTACCCAGAAAACCCAGGATAATCTTCAATAGAGTAATTTCCTATCTGCAAAGTCCCTTTGCCACATAATGTTACTATAATTCAAATTTCAGGAAAGAGAGTACAGACATCTTTGGCCGAAGGGGGGCGGAGGGGTGGTGGTGGTGGCGGCGGCGGCTGCATCATTCCATCTACTACACTCACCCTCTGGCCTCCCAACTAAAGCTCATCAAGTCAAAAGTCCCAAATCTCATCATCTAAATTAGGTGTGATGAGGCTCTGAGTATAATACATTAACTACAATCCCCGGGGCACAACTCCTTAAAAAAAAAGTTATCTGCTCCCAACATGCAATGGAGGGTCAGGCATATGGCAACAGACCAAACAGGGAAAATATAAAAAAATACAGATCTATCGGTCCAACAGTTTCAAAAATCTGAGCACACTCCATTCTATTTACAAGCCAGTGGCATTCAGCTCCACCTCTCCTGGTCCTTGGTTCCACCCCCCCACCCCCCCCCCCTTTTTTTAACATAGAGCAGCACATTTACACCTGAGTAGTTTTACCAGTCTGCTTCCTGCCAGTAGTCTAAATCCTCAAGAACCCGGAGGCTTTACATGAATTTCACAGGGGTTCACTCCATTAGTCAGACTTAGATCCACAAACAAACCAGGGCCCACCTTCAAGACTTCCAGTGGAAATCTCCTCAACCAAATATCCATGTTTATCACATTAAGTTGCCTTTTCCACATAACCACAGGACACAATTCTAAGCATATTTGCCACTTTGTAACAAGGATCTTCTTTCCTTCCGTCTCCAATGAATGCATACCCACTTCCACGTGAGCCGTCACTAGCAGAGGCATTGACATCCATATTTCTAGCAAAAATCTGTTGTTCTAAGCCTTTTCCATCATACTCCTCAAATTTTTTTTCTGGACTCCACCACCACTTCCACATTTTTAGGTAATAGTACCCCACTTCTTGTACCAAAATCTATACTAGTGTTCTAGCTGCCATAACAAATCACCACAAACATATTATGTTTCTGCAGGTCAGAAGTTGGGTGAACTTGGCTGTCTCCTGCTTAGGGTCTCACAAGGCCAAAACCAAGGTATATTCCTTGTTGGAAACTCTGGGGAAGACATTTCCAAGTTCATTCAGGCTGTTGGTCAAATTCAGTTCCTTGTGGCTGTACAACTGAGGTCTCCTTTTCCTTGCTAGCTGTCAGCCACAGCTGGTCTTTGCTACTAAAGGACACCCGGATCCCTTCCCTTGGTTTCCATATGGCCCCCTCTAGCAACAGCAAATGGAGTCCCTCTCATGATTCATACCTGATTTCCCCTCTGCCCCATCTCTTTTAACTCCCAGCTAGAAAAGTTCTCCGCTTTTATACTGGGCCTACCCACAAGACCAAGGGAAATCTTCCTATTTTAACCCTAATTACATCTGTAAAGTCCCCTTTACCATGTTACATATGTAAAAATTCGGGGGATTAGAGAATGAACACGGGGGTGGGGGACATTCTGCCTACTACAAACCCCAAACCCTATATAAGCTTTAAACTTAGTTCCTAAACAAATTTCTCCTTTCTTCAAAAGAGTATGTAAAGTAACGGTATATGTTCAGAGATAGAGACAACAGTACAATCAAGGACTTAACCTTGAAGAATGGCTAGGTGACAGGGGAGCTTAAAAATACACTGTGGGGGGTGGGTGGATGACAACAAACAAACAAAACAAAAAACAGTGTTGCTCAGTGATTAGAGCGTCGGCCTTAAACTAGAGTAGCAGGCTCGATTCTCGGTCAAGGGCACATACCTGGGTTGCAGGTTCAATCCCTGGCCCCAGTCAGGGCATGTGCAGGAGGAAAACAATCAATGTGTCTCTCACACCAATCTCTCTCTCTCCTTCCTTGCCCCTCCTTCCACTCTCTCTAAAAATCAATGGAAAAAATGTCCTCAGGTGAGGATTAACAACAAAGGATTTTACAAAGTACACTGTGAAAAAGCTGTCACTAGTTTCATCCCCAATACAAGGCAATTAATTAACCGATTATGCAAGAAAGGAACTCATTGCTCCACCTTATATTCTGTACAAGAGGACATAACAAGGCATAAGTTGCCCCAGGGTGATCTAACTTTATAATCAAGAAATCTAAGCAAACTTTCAATCCTTGTGTTTCTTTTTCAAGTCATACACCCTCCTCCAACAGAAATTAAACTCACCCACTTCAAAGTCACAAGACAAACCTACCCAGATAAAACTGCAGGTGAACTTTTAAATAACAATATGAGGGAGAACCAGTATTGGTTCTGATCTTTCATCCCAAAGTTCACCAAGTCAGTTAACACAAAAGACTTCCAGAGGAACCCCAAATATACCAGCTAGTCCCTTTTAACAATAGTTATACTTACTACCTGCAAGACACTGTGGTAAGCACTTGACACAAATTATTTATTTATTTATTTGGTATGTGCCCCTATGGGAACCGAACCCAGGACTCTCTGGTCCACAGCCGATGCTCCAACCGCTGAGCCAAACCGGCCAGGGCGACACAAATTATTTTATTTACTCCTCACCATAAATCTATGATCTAGAGAATATTATCACCCCCATTTTACAGACAGAAAAACTGAGGTTTACAGAGGTTAGGTCACACAGCTAAGTACTAGTAGCACTGACATTTGAGAACCTAGGCAGTCTGGTTCTTTACCTCTAGGCCTACATTGCAACCCCTTCAGGGATGGGAAACCTTTTTTCTGCCAAGGGCCATTTGGATATTTATAACTTTATTCATGAACCACACAAACTTGTAAACTTAAAAATTAGCCTGCTAACCCTGGCTGGTTTAGCTCAGCGGTTAGAGCCTCAGCCCATAGACCAAAGGGATCACAAGTTCCATTCCGGTCAAGGGCACATACCTGGGTTTCAGGTTTGATCCCCAGCCCTGGGCCCTGCTGAAGGCAACAAATTGATGTGTCTCTCTAACAGGATTTTCTCTCTCTCCACCTCCCTTGCTCCCTCCCACTCTCTCTAAAAATCAACTGAAAAATATCTTTCGGGTGAGGATTAACAACAAAACTTCTCCTGCTATATTTCGTCAGGCTAATTTGGCGAGGCTGTGATGTTAGCTGGTATTGATTTTGCCGGCCTTATACAGCCTATGGGCCAGTCCTTCTTTGCCCCTGCAGGCTTAAAAGGAAGGAGGTCTCCCAACTCTTAGAAAAATCTTCCCTTTATATCTTTCTTTTCATTTTCTCTCTTCCACACACCCTTCTCCTACAATTTAGCAGTTGAAAGGTAATCAAATCTTCTCAAATTAATTTGCCACCTCCTTTTCAGAACTCTTTCCTTCCCACAACAGCAATAGCCAAGAAGCAACTTCTCCTGACCCTGACTCTGCTTCCCAAAAACAAACTACAGAAGCTCCACCCATCACCTGCCTCGGCTAAAAATGTTCCAACCACTGGAGGGACGACGACGACAAAATGAAAGTCCTACTCTTTCAGAAGGTCACAAACTAATATGTATACTCTTAGCCAGCCTTTAACTCTACTTATTTCTCCTCTTCCAACCAGGCTCCCAACTATCCCTTAACTCCAACTCTATCCCGGTCTGCCCCACTTCGTGGTCCCCTCCGTCTTTCTCCTCAGCGACCTCGCCCGACGTTCCCTCCACCTTGCAGCCCTGTCTGCAGGTGGGAAGCCCAGCCTCGCCCACAGGGACCCTTAGAAGGCCCCCACTCCAGCTGCTTAGCTCCGCGGGAGGGTTCACCCCACCCTACCCAGCAGGCACCATTCCCCTAGACACCGGCCCCCAGCATCCCCTTGCGGCCCCACCCCTCAAGCTCCCTTCCCCCTCTTGCGACCCCCTCCTCCAAGTTGCCCCCTACTCCCCGCTCCAGTGCAGCCCTCTTCCCCTCATAAGCTCGACTCCCGAGAGCTAGTTTCCACTCTCACACCCAAGTCTCGCTCCCTGCCCCGGGTTTGGGGGTGCCACCGGGCCTCCCCGATGGGTTGCAGGCGCCTTGGCTGGTGTGTGTAAAGGGGGGGCAGGGGAAGGCGAAGCCCCTCCCGAGTCTGCTGGAGGCACAAGGGGCGGCCGCACCCGCTGCCTCTTCCTGGGCCACCCCCCACTCCCCAACGGCCTCGCCTGGCAGCTACCACGGTACCTGTGGTGGAAGCGGCAGCGGTAGCGGCCGCTCTCCCCTCTCCTCACACAGACAATATGGCGGCGGCGGAGGAGGAGACACACGGCTCGGCCGCCAGCCGCAGGGACCAGAGTGAGGCTGCTGCTGCTGCCACCGCCGGAAGCGGAAACCCCTTCCTACCAGGAGGTGGGGCGGGACGGCTTCAGACACCGCCCCCTAGCGGAATCTCGCTGCGTGCGGCCATACTGGGATGGACTATTATACCCTGGGGTTCATTTCCGAAGTAGGGCGCAAAACGGAAGGAATTCTCAACGTAATGCATATTACGTTGCAGAGACTCAACGTATGCAGAGACTTGCAATAATTAAGCGCGTTTTACTTCAGTACCTTTAAGAACTGACGGGAGAGAGAACATGAACCTCCCCGTAAGTGAACAATTGGTTTGACCCAAGCGAAGATGGCGGTCCCTAGCTTTCCCGAACTTCTCCCAGCTGACGAGTCCCATCAGTCTGCAAGCCGTCCCGCCTTTCTTGGAAAGAAGCATGCGCGACCTGCAGAGCTGTAGAGCGAAGCATTTTGGGGGTTGAAGTCTCCTGCTCCGACCCCTCGTCTAGGGTTAAGGTTCCAGCAGCACATTTCTGTCTGCTCAAACTTCGAGTTCGGAACAACAGAACGAAAGTTGGACCCTGGGAGTGGTGTGGCACAGGAGCTGAGGAGGTGACGATACTAGCCTTCTAGAGACCGAGACCCAATTCCTGCCTCCTACAGAAGTCCTATCGAGAGCTGCCCATCCAGAATAGTGTTTTCTCCCTTCGGCCTGCGCCCCCCCACCCCCCCCCGCACCTTACCCCTGTTCTTGTCCAGTGAACCTCCCCAAAGCAGCCACAGGGCACTTGCTACTGTGCAAACCTGATCGTGGGGTCTTCTAGGTTAAAAATCTCCCAAGGCTCTTTGTGCACCAAAGATAGCAGATCTCTCCTGTTGACATTCAAGTGCGCACCTACATCATTTGGACAATCCACTTAGACCCCTTTTTACCTCCATTTCTGCCCCTCCCCTCTCAGATTCCTGATGCTCCCACCCACTGCAAATTATTCCTGGAATTTAACTGTGTTGCCTCCCTCCCTTTGCACTGCCAGTTCCTTCTGTTACTGTTGCCTCCTGGACTAACTTACATCCCTCCCTTGAGCTCCCCCAGACCTAGGCACTATAATTCAGCAGCCTGAGTGGTCCCTAGCTTGCCTCCTCCATCAGACTGTGAGCCCCGAGTGGACAGGGCTGGGTCTAATGATCACCGGTCACCTGCAGGCCTTGCTGAAAGCTGGTTGGTGTATATGTTACTGAAAGGAATTTAAGTGTTAGTCTCACCTATGATGGGGCAGAGCTGTGAGGGCTGGAACAAGGGTGAGGAGGCTGGGTTATTTTGATACTGCCAGCTATTATCCCAGAGCTGCCTCAGAATAGCTGCCTGGCCCAGGGATGGGCCTCCCCACAGGCTCCAGCTCTTTTTTGGAATTTTGTAAGCTGACTGGCACCTCTGCTCCCAAAGAGATAATTTCCTTCCTGGAGGGATGGGATGAGGGCAGTAGTGGCTGGCTGTAGCCTTACAGTGATGGCCTCAGGGAGGTGGCTGTGACCTTTTCTGGGCCTCATTGTCAGGTCTGTGGCATTTGATTTCAGTAGGCTGGGAATGTACAGTAATGGGTGTCCTCAGGCTGGTCATCACTCCTCTCTGGGCCTTTGTTTACTCCCATGTGGACTGAGGAAGTTAGAGAAGATGATCCCAATGTTTCTCTGTAGCACTAGTTCAGGAAAGGACTAAGCCTTCCACTTAGCTCTTGAACTGTGTTTTTTTGGCTCTCATGGCTTCCTTTTTCCCACCTTTGTTCACATTTATTCTGTATATAGCTATTAATCACTTGCTATGAACCAGACATTGTGCTAGGTGCTGGGGATGTGTTATGAGCAGGACAGATGCCAGTTCCTTATGGAGCTCACCTTCTAAAGTGAGAAACAAATTATGCACAGGTAATCAAATGAATTAAAAAAGTAATTTCAGGTAATAGTAAGTGCTATGAAGGAAAAAGATAACTGCAAAAAAAGAATAAAAGAAAGGAGAAATTTAGCCTGCCTGGTTCAGATGGTTGCTGTGAGAAGGGAGGAGTAAAAACAAAGGTCCTAAGGCAGGAAAGAATTTGATAAGCTTGAAGAAGGAGCTAGGGCCTGGGGGGGTGGGGGGTGGCTGAAACACTGTGAATGAGGGGCAGAAGGTAGGAAATATGATGGGAGAGGTGGGCAGGAAATTCAGGCCATGGTAAGGAGTCTGGGATTTCATTTGAGAAGAGTGTGGATATTTCCCAAGACTTAGCCCTCACACCTTTCCTATGAGCTCACCCCTCCCACAGTGTTATTCTTCATTCTTCCACCCAATTCCATCCTCCATCCATGACCTCATTCAGAGGGCTCACCCAGGCACTCACATATGACCCTTTTGTACTATGTAGGACATAGTTGAGACCCAACCCCTGTCATCTCCCAGGCCAGCCTGGTATAGGTCTCTGGTCCCAAGAAGCTCCCAGTCTCCAATGTCCACTAATTATGGAGCCTCCAAAGACCAGCTCAGTTTTCTTTAACATTTATTCTTATTGACCCCCTGCATCACAATCTCAAGCTACACTTCCTTCAAACAACAACAGCAACAACCACAGTTAAGATGTTGACGGTACTCGCCCTGTGCTGTACACTGAATGTTCATCATCTAATTTAATCCTCACATCAGCCTGAGGAAATAAGAACTAAAAGTATCCCAGTGTACAGATGAGGAAACTAAAGTTCAGAGAGATTACAGGACATGCTCATGGTCATATGTCAGAGATGGAACTTGCATTTCAACGTGGGTCATACTCACTGCACTAAGAACCTAATGTATCAGCTTTCTCTTGCTGCTTAATAAATCATCCCTAAACATAGTGGCTTAAGCCAACAATCATTTATATGCTTGTTTGTGTGGATTGGCAGTTTGGACATGCCTCAGCTAGGATAGCTCTTTTCTGTTGCACGTGGTTTTGTTTGGGCTTGTGCACTTGCAGTCAGCAAGTTGGCAAGATGGCTGGTCCTATATGGCCTCATTCACAGGTCTGGCTGCTGACTGAATCTGTGGCTTGAGTGCCTTGCTTCTCTTCTGTGGCTTCTTCAGCAAACTAGCGCAGGCTTCCTTACTTGATGACCTCCCAAAGGAAGAGAAACAAAGCAGCAAGGCCTCTCTTGAGGCCTAGGCTCAGAAGTGTCATAGGATCACTTTCACTGCATTTTATTGATCAAAGCCCACAATATGGCCAGCTAGCTCACATACAAGGAGAGAGGAAATAGATTCCATCTCTTGATGGGAAAAACATCAAGTCACATTACAAACAGTCATGTGTACAGGGATGGGTGGAATTGTTGTGGCCATTTTTGCAAACAACATACCACACTAAGTGACTAGTATAGAACTAGTTAAATACATTATGTTATAGCTACACATGGAATTATTAACCACAATAAAAGCTAATGTTTTGGGGTTTTTTGACCACCTAGTATGTGTCAGACACTACATAACATGCCATACATATATTAACTCATTTAATCTTTATAACAGTTCTGTGTTTTCATCCCCATTTAGAGAGTGAGCATACCAAATCTTAGAGAGGTTAAATAATTTGTGCAAGGTTACACAGCTAGTAAGTGGCAAAGCCATTAAAGAGAATGAGGACAATGGAACATCCTGGCATGTAAAACTGGCCCTGCAAAACTGTTACGTGATAAAAGGCAAGAGACAAAAGTTTGGTCAGAATACATTAAAAAAAAAAACATTGAAAGTAAGTAGGTGTGGCCTGGCTAGTGTGGCTCAGTGGTTGAGCGTCAACCTATGCACCAAGAGGTCACGGGTTTGATTCCCGGTCAGGGCACATGCCCCAGTGGGGCATTCAGGAGGCATCCAGTTGATGTTCTCTCTCATTAATGTTTCTCTCTCATCGATGTTTTTATCTCTCCCTTTTCCTTCCTCTTTCTAAAAATCAATAAAGAAAAAGAATTTTTTTAAAAAAGTGAGTAGATGTGTGTGTGTTGTATAATTTTACGTAAAAGCAGGAAAGATTGCCCTGGCTTGTGTGGCTCAGTTGGTTGCATATTGTCCCATACATCAAAAGCCAGCAGGTTTGATTCCCGGTCAGGGCACATACCCAGGTTGCAGGTTCCATCCCCAAGTAGGAGGCAACTGATTGAACACTGATGTTTCTCTTTCTCTTCCTCTCTCTCAAGTCAATTAAAAAAAAAAAAAAAAAAAAAAGGAAGGATTTACCATGAGCTGTTAATGGAGCTTATCTCTGAAGAGAGGAAGAAGAGAGAACTTCTACTCTAAACACCTGTGTCTGTCTGCATTATGCACATTTTTCTGTTTGCATTTTTGTACAACAAACAAATTTTTATTTCAGCACTCCATAAAGAAAAGCCTTTAAAAAATGCCTCTCACCTCATCCTGGCTAATTTGGCGCAACGGTTAGAGCGTTGGCCCATGGACCAGAGTCTCAGATCAAGGGTATGTGCCTCGGTTGGAGTTCAATCCCTGGCCCCAATCAGGGTCATGCAGGAGGCAACCAGTCAATGTGTCTCTCTCACATCGATGTCTCTCCCTCTCTCTCTCTTCCTCCTCTTCTCCCTCCCTCTCTGCCTCCCACTGTAGCTGAAGATAAATGGAAAAATATCCTTGGGTGAAGATTAAAGAAAAAGAAAAGTCTTTCACCTCTGTCTTTTTCTATTTGATTTTTATATTTACTTTTTTTTTCTTTTTTCAATACTTTCCCAGTGAAGGGAAGGAGGGAGGTAGAGAGGGGGGTTAGGAGGGAGGAAGGAATAAAAGGAAAGAAGGAAGGAATAGTTTGGATGGGAGAAAGGAAGGGGGAGGAAGGAAAAGAGGGGAGGGAGAGGGATGGAGGGAAGGAGGAAAGAAGGAAGAGAAAGTTTGGATGGGAGAAAGGGAGGGGGAGGAAGGAAAGGAAAAAAGGAAGGGAGGGAGAGAGAGGGATAGAGGGAGGGTGGAAGGAAGGAATCAAAGAGAGGTAGTTTGTTTGGGAGGAAGGAAGGGAGGGAGAGAGAGAGAGAG